TCGCTGTTTCTGCGCACCAACACTTCGCTGCCGCCGTTCTACATCCTCGTGTACGTCGACGACTTGGTCTTTGCCACTGCTGACACTGAGGCTCTCTCCCTGGTGAAGTCGGAGCTGCAGAAGAGACACACGTGCACAGACCTGGGTGAACTGACAAGCTATCTTGGCTTGCGGATCACCCGGGACAGAGCACGCCGCACCATCACACTGACTCAGTCACATATGGTGCAGCAGGTCCTTCAGCGCTTCGGCTTCACCTGGTCCTCGGCACAGGCCACTCCTCTGGCTACAGGTCACTCGCTCTCAGCTCCACCTTCGGACGAGTCCGTAGAGCCGAGTGGTCCTTACCCAGAGCTAGTTGGCTGCCTCATGTACCTGATGACCTGCACTCGTCCTGACCTCGCGTACCCTCTTGGCCTTCTGGCTCGCTACGTGGCTCCTGGTCGGCACCGAAAGGTGCACATGGATGCTGCTAAGAGGGTACTGCGCTACTTGTGCAGTACATCGGGCATGGGGCTCGTGCTTGGAGGACGGGGCGACGTTGTCCTCACTGGTCACTCGGACGCTTCTTGGGTTGACGACCAGGCTACGCAGCGGTCGTCACAGGGTTACACCTTCAGTCTTGGCTCTGGCTCTGTTTCTTGGCAGTTACGCGCTCGTCTTCTGTTTTCGGCTCCAGTTGTGAGGCTGAGATCTACGCCACAGCCATGGCTGCACAGGAGTTACGCTGGCTCACCTACCTGCTGACCGACTTGGGTGAGCGGCCTCGTTCTCCTCCAGTTCTGTACGTCGACAAAAGGCAGCCATTGCCTTGTGTCATGAGCACAGACTGGAGCACAGAACGAAGCACATCGCTTTGCGTTACTTCCTGGCTCGAGAGTTGCAGCAGCGGGGTCAGCTTCGCCTTGCTCACGTGGCCACTCGGGCCAACACTGCTGATATATTCACCAAGGCACTTCCGTCTGGTGACCATCAGCGCTTTTGTACTTTGTTGGGCCTTGTGCCTACGTTTCCACACTTGCTGTAGTCTCTGCTTGTACTGTGATCTATATATATATATATGCATGCTTGCTCTTGCTAGGTAGAGATCACTGTACTGTTCTTGTTGCATTTATACCTCTGTATGTGAACTGGCCTTGTGGCCGTTTGCTTGTGCTCAGTGTGTGTGGTGACGTTGTGATCCACCCTGAGCTTGTTTTGCTTTCCTTGACTGGTCTTGTGACCTCTTGCTCTCCCCCACTTTGCCTATGGGGGTGTGTCAAACATATACATATGTTATAGTTTTGGGTAGGCTGTAGTGGGGTAGATACTGTGGGTTACAACCCCTTAGGTTTCTTCCTTGTACCAAATCCCTCGATAGTCAAACTCATTCCTGCCTAAGTTCTAAGAGCCACGCGACATGTTATCCGTATTCTGCACATCGCGCTATTCGGTTGTAAGGCTGACGCTCCTATAGCCATGTTTGTGCCGCTGTGTTGGTTTCTGGCCAAGGAGGGTCTTCTAGACCTCTCTCGCGAAGGCGGATATGGTGCCTATTACACAGAGTGAGTCCGTTATTTGTTGTTGATGCTGATTGTCTTGCCTTGCTCACGTGTAGAAACTCTTTTTCGTTTTTCGTGGCAGTTATGGTTTCAAGGAGAACTTGCGAGCAATCTCCACCTACCTGCAAGAGACACAGCGGTCGCACCTCCTTGATTCCCCTTGGATCGGGCTGATCGACGAGAGCACCGACCGCATACACGGGAAACATTTGATTGTGTATGCGACCTTCTTCAAAGGGAGGGAGGTTGTAACCGAGTTTCTCACTTTGCTCACCTTAGACCGTTGTGACGCAGCATCTCTAACGAGTGTTATCCTGCAATATCTGGCGCTTATTGGAGTTGACCTGCAGAAAATTTGTGCAATCTCAACGGACGGGGCCAATGTCATGGTAGGAAGCACACCGGCGTCGGTGCACGGCTGAGATCGCGGATTCTGCATCTCGTGTCAACGCACTGCATAGCCCATCGGTACGTTTATACGTAATGGTTGTTTTTTATATTGTTTTGTGTTCCCTCACTACTCTCCACTGACAATCGTTGGTGTCTATCTTGTGGCAGTGAGGCGCTTGCTGCCCGTGACGCAGAACTGCAGTCTTGGAGTTGAGCATGGTGGACGACGTGGTCCGCGCTTTCTCGAAGATTCTCGGGCGCAGCGGTGTGAAGTACCAGAAATTTCAGAATCTGCAGCAAATATTTTGCCAGACGAACCTTGAAGCACAAGGAATCTTCACCATTCGCTGGCTGTCCCGCGGGGAGGCACTGGAGCGCCTGCTGGATGTGTTGCCCGCAGCGATAGTGTTGTTGAAGGAGTATCGGCGGGATTTGTACGAGGTTGTCACCTCGTTCAATTTCCACTGGCTTCTTCGGTTCTTGGTGGATGTGCTGGCGGAGCTAAACTCGCTCAACAAGCGGTTTCAGCAGAGAAAGGTATGTACTGATGTGTGTGTTTCTATCTTTGTGACATGTACCTCGTCTCCCGTCCTGACTGTCAAACATGTGCGTTTGCATATTGACATCACATTGGGTGGCGCGTCTTGTAGAGCAGACATGGATGCGACTCAAGACCCGCTGCTTCAGCACTCAACAAGAACACGGTTTCGGGAGTGGAGAGAAGATGCACCTGCCTGATTTTATTAAGAACCACCAAGCCATGGAGAAGCTTGAGATGCGTGCCGAAGGCATTGATTCCGATGGGAATTCTGTGTCCTTCGCATTCGACCTGCACGAGCGTGACCTTCCCGGGCAGGACAGTGATGGCGATGTGACCGCGTGCTTCGAACTGTCGCTAAAGTTTGTGCGGGCAGTCGACAAGGAGTTGGAGTGGCGGTATCGTGATTTCGACAACCTGGAAGGCTCGAAGCTGTTTGACACAGCTTCATACCTTCCAGACGACGACAAACGTCTGGCAGCCTTTAAGCGATGGATGCAGCAACTGCACAAGCTCTACCGCGATGCCCTTCCTGGTTTGATTACCTTACCTTGCATAAAATCCCTGCCCTGTTGTGCTTTCCTTACAGGCTACAGCACACTATTATGATCTCTGTTGCATGCCTTCAAACTGTTGCTGGTTTGATGATTTTCATGTTGGTCGTGTGTTATTGTTGGTTTAATACCGCCCTCTCCTCCCTGCTCCTTCGAGCTTCGTGTTGTTTACTTGTTCCCCGTTCAACAGGTTTCAACTACAGCGAAGCGCGGGGAGAGCTGTGGATGTTCACTTCGACAATGTTCTCGCAGCATCACAACGAAGATTTCCACCAAGCTCTAGCCAACATGCTGCGCGACGATTCATGGCAGCAATCCTTCCCCAACCTGATGCTGCTCTGGCAAGCAGTGGCCGTCCTGCCTCTCAGCATGGTCGAGTGTGAGAGAGGCTTCAGCAAGCAGAACTTGATTAACACATGGGGTCGCGGCAACATCTCTGAAAGCAGCCTGGAATATCTTATGCGCTGCTCCTTGCTCCAGTATGACATTGACTGGTTCGAGGTGGTGGCGATTTTCAGGGGGGAGAAGCTCAGGCGGCCCACCAAAGACTTCGGTGGGACTAGGGAGAGCAATGCGCAGTTTGTAGGCGAGAATGAGGCAGTAGAAGCAAGTGTGCCTAGCAGTGACTGACTTGCGTGTGCCCTATCCTAGTTGTCATTGTGAATAAGTCAACAATGCTTAGCATAGCCAGTAGTTTGTGCTCTCGTTTATAATAACAGTGTATTGTTGGTTTTACACAGAGGGATTTTTTTTTACCCTGATGCCATCAGGGCGCGCAAAATTATACACTGCTTTTGTCAGACTAACACAAAAGTTACCCTAGCCTGTCAGGGTGGGACAGGCTCCAACCCTGATAAGCCAGGGTGGGTCTGGACCAATTTGGGCCCTGTCATCATGCGAGCCGTTAACTGGGAACTGTGATTTCTTGAGTATTCACAGATTTGTGCCAGTTCCATCATGAGCTCGAACTCGAAGCTCCAAACAAAGAAGTCTTGCCGCCGAAAGGCTTTAAAGTGTGCATATAGAACTGTCAAATATATGCTTACTTAGGTGAGATTAAAGCCCAAGGTCAGCTTGGTTTTTGGCAAATTTTCTGAAGGGCTATAAACGTGTTGGCGAAAAGCAAAAAAGTTCATTTCGGGAATATGGGCGGGGCGAAAGCGAGATCAGGCTGCGAGGGGATTGGGAATTCGTCACTCAATATCGGTATTTGTGTGCGACAAACCAACCCAACTAACCAACCAAACGAGTAGCCAACCTCACCAGTCTTGTGTTAGTACTACCCATAAAACATCCCGACAGCGCATCGTAGCATAGTAAAATACGCAGAATTTAGGAACTTCACACGCGCATACAAAATAATTTTGTGCCTCGCCTCCCGTAGTTGCGTCTCTTATCGCCGCGCCCCCTGTCCCATCGTCACGCCCGCTCGTTTCTGGGAGCCTCCCCTCGTCGCGGCTCCGCTCACCTCGTCGCGCCTCCGCTCGCCTCGTCGCGGCTCCGCTCGCCTCGCCGCGCCTCCGCTCTCCTCGCCGCGCCTCCGCTTGCCTCACCGCGCCTTGGCTCCCCTCGTCGCGCCTCCGCTCGCCTCGCCGCGCCACCGCTCGTCTCGCCGCGCCTCCGCTCGTCTCGCCGCGCCTCCGCTCGTCTCGCCGCGCCTCCGCTCGCCTCGCCGCGCCTCCGCTCACCTCGCCGCGCCTCCCCTGCCATCAGCGCGCCAACACCCTCGTCGCGCTGCCCCTCCTCGCGCCTCCACTCCCGCTGCTTGTTACCTTCCCCTCTATTCCCTCATGTTACCTTCCCCTCTATTCCCTCTGCTTCCCCTCATTCCCCGTTTGCTTCCCCTCATTCCCCCCTCTTCTTCCCTCATTTACTCCCCTGCTTCCCCTGGTTTCCCCCTGCTTCCCCTATTCCAGCCCCCTGATTTTCCTATATTTAACCTCCTGCTTCCCCTAATTTCTCCTTTTGCTTCCCCTCATGTCCGCCTCTCCTTCCCCTAATTTCTCCTTTTGCTTCCCCTCATGTCCGCCTCTGCTTCCCCGCATTTACCCCGCTGCTTCCCCCCGTTTCCCCCTCTGCTCTCATCATTCCCCCCCTGCTTCCCCTCATTCCCCCCCCCCCCCTCCTTCCCCTCATTTCCCCCACTGCTTCCCCTCATTTCCCTCTCTGCTTCTCCTCATTTCCCCCCCTGCTTCCCCTCATTTCCCCCTCCGCTCCTCCTCATTCCCCCCTCCGCTTCCCCACATTCCCCCCTCCGCTTCTCCTCATTCCTCCCTCCGCTTCTCCTCATTCCCCCCTCCGCTTCTCCTCATTCCCCCCTCCGCTTCTCCTCATTCCCTCCTCCGCTTCTCCTCATTCCCCCCTCCGCTTCTCCTCATTCCCCCCTCCGCTTCTCCTCATTCCCTCCTCCGCTTCTCCTCATTCCCCCCTCCGCTTCTCCTCATTCCCCCCTCCGCTTCTCCTCATTCCCCCCTCCGCTTCTCCTCATGCCTTCCCATGCCTCCCCATGCCTTCCCATACCCCCCCATGCATCCCCATGCCTCCCCATGCCTCCCTCCGTGCACCCCCTTCATCGCCTGCATCATGTCTTGCCCCCATCAGGTGGTGGACGAGGCGGACCAGCTGCTGCACCAGTTCTACCACGACTGGCTGCCGCTCACCCTCGCCTCCCTTGCGGCTGCCCCTTCCGATGCCACTGCTGCCACGTCAGCAGTCACCGGCATGCATGCTGACATGGCAGTGAGCGTGCCGGTTCTGTGCGACGTCATGCATGCACATGGCGGTGGCAGCATGAGCGGTGTTCTCCCCACTCCATTCATCCACGGCCTGCAATCTCTGTGAGCCCTCAACCGGTCACCTCATGCTGCTGTGCGTTGCTGCTATGTGCCGCTGCCATGCTGGGCTTGTTTCTTTTGTACATAACACCTCCTCTCGCCCTCCCCGTTCCCCTTCATCCCCGGTCTGTGATCCCTGTGAGCCCTCAGCCGTCACTGGATGCTATGCGCTGCTGCTATATGCCGCTGCTACGTGCCCGTGCCTTGTGGCTGCTATGTGCATCTGACCTGCAGTCACCTGAGTGACGCTGCTATGAGCCGTTGCCTTGTGCTCGTGTCACCTCACTGTGTCAGAATCAAGAGACAGGAATGAATGAACTATGAAAGAGTTGGGTACAAGTATGAAACCCTAGAAGGGGCTGTACCCCATATTGGCTACCCCACTACAGCCTACACATGTATAACAAGCATATACTTTGACACACCCCCATAGGCAAAGTGGGGGAGAGCAAGGGGTCACAAGACCAGTCAAGAGAAGCAAAGCAAGCTCAGGGTGGATCACAACGTCACCAAACACACTGAGCACAAGCAAAGGGCCACATGGCCAGTTCACATGCAGGGGTATATATGCAACAACAACAGCACAGTGATCTCTACCTAGCAGAGCAAGCATGCAGGTATATATAGATCACAGTACAAGCAAAGTCTACAGCAAGGGAGGAAACGTGGGCACAAGGCCTAACAGAGTGCAGAAACGCTGATGATCACCAGACGGAAGCGCCTTGGTGAATATATCAGCAGTGTTGGCCCGAGTGGCCACGTGAGCAAGACGAAGCTGACCACGCTGCTGCAACTCTCGAGCCAGGAAGTAACGCAGAGCAATGTGCTTCGTTCTGTGCTCCAGTCTGTGCTCCTGACACAAGGCAATGGCGGCCTTGTTGTCGACGTACAGCACTGGAGGAGAACGAGGCCGCTCTCCCAAGTCGGTCAGCAGGTAGGTGAGCCAGCGTAACTCCTGTGCAGCCATGGCTGTGGCGTAGAACTCAGCCTCACAACTGGAGCTGAGAACTGAAGACGAGCGCGTAGAACGCCAAGAAACCGAACCAGAGCCAAGACTGAAGGTGTAACCCTGTGACGACCGCTGCGTAGCCTGGTCGTCAACCCAAGAAGCGTCTGAGTGCCCAGTGAGGACAACGTCGCTCCGTCCTCCAAGCCGAGCCCCATGCCCGATGTACTGCACAAGTAGCGTAGTACCCTCTTAGCAGCATCCATGTGCACCTTTCGGTGCCGACCAGGAGCCACGTAGCGAGCCAGAAGGCCAAGAGGGTACGCAAGGTCAGGACGAGTGCAGGTCATCAGGTACATGAGGCAGCCCACTAGCTCTGGGTAAGGACCACTCGGCTCTACGGACTCGTCCGAAGGTGGAGGTGAGAGCGAGTGACCTGTAGCCAGAGGAGTGTGCTGTGCCGAGGACCAGGTGAAGCCGAAGCGCGGAAGGACCTGCTGCACCATGTGTGACTGAGTCAGTGGGATGGTGCGGCGTGCTCTGTCCCGGGTGATCCGCAAGCCAAGATAGCTTGTCAGTTCACCCAGGTCTGTGCACGTGTGTCTCTTCTGCAGCTCCGACTTCACCAGGGCGAGAGCCTCAGTGTCAGCTGTGGCAAAGACCAAGTCGTCGACGTACACGAGGATGTAGAACGGCGGCAGCGAAGTGTCGGTGCGCAGAAACAGCGACGGGTCAGCAGTCGACGGAGCAAACCCAAGAGCCGCAAGTGTCGTCCTCAGTGTGTCGTGCCACTCACGTGGCGCCTGGCGGAGACCGTAGACCGGCCGCCTGAGGCTCCACTGGGTACCAGAAGGGAACGACCCAGTGAAGCCAGGTGGGCGGCGCAGCCAGATCTCTTCGTGCAGGCTGCCCTGTAAGAAGGCTGTGCTGAAGTCAAGAGAGTGAAGCTCGTAGTCACGCTGAGCGGCAACGTGCAGCAGCACCCGAAGAGTGGTCATCTTCGGGGTGGGGGAGAAGGTCTGGAAGAAGTCTACTCCCTCTCGCTGACTGAAACCTCGTGCAACGTAACGCGCCTTGAAGGCAGGCGGAGAACCTGGCGGCCGCTTCACCCTGAAAATCCACATGCCACTGACGATGTTCGCCCCAGGTGGGGGAACCTCGTCGACGTAGGTGCCTGTGGACTTCCAGGATGCCATCTCTGCGTCCATGGCTGTCTGCCACTGAGAGGAGTACTCACCCGCGAACGCCTCAGCGTAAGAGCGCGGGGTCGGGATGTCTGGAGCATCCGGGTCTCCCTCAGGGGCAAGCAGCATGGACACGAGATGAGGCGCAGCGGCTGCAAGACACTCAAGGTCCTCCTGCCTGTCCTCGAGGACGTCCGTGACAAGAGCACACTCACCCCCGACGGACGGAGGACAGACGGACTCAGACTCAGCAACAAGACTAGCGGCGTAGTCTAGACGACAGGCAGCAGCAAAGTCAACAAGCTCAGCAACTAAGGCAGTCGTAGCAGCAGACTCAAACGACGGGTCAGTGACAACAGTGGCTAGCAGACGCGTGACAGTAGGGTGCTCAGCACGAAACCGGTCAGACTCGGGGTCCGCAACGACAGGCAGAGAAGACGCAGGAGGGGACGGCAGAGGAACACGTTGCGGAGGAGAGGAAGGACGACGGACTACTAGGTGGGTGTCGGGGACAGCCGGCAGACGCGGACGAGGAACACGACGACCGGAACGACCAGAACAGACAGGCGAGACAGGACGCGACGCAGGCTCACGACGCTCAGTAAGACTCCCTAGCTGCTCAGTGTAAGGAGAAGGAGCAGGCAGCGGTGAGCCAGGCTGTAACGGAAGACCAGTAGACGAAGGGAGACTAAGAACCTGGCGAAGCACAGAGTCAGGCGGTGGCTGAGAAGACGGAGACGGTGGAGCGAAGAACAGGCGCGGCTGTGCAGTGACACCAGCAACAGCAGCTCCAGTACCCCCAGCAGCTCCAGCACCTCCAGCAGCCCCAGAACCTCCAGCGTCAGTAACCTCAGCAGCTCCAGAACCTCCAGCTCCAGCGCCACCAGCGCCAGTACCTCCAGCAGCTCCAGAACCTCCAGCGTCAGCACCCTCAGCAGCTCCAGAAACTCCAGCTCCAGCGCCACCAGGACCAGCTCCACCAAGAGCAGCACCTCCAGAACCGGCACCTCCAGTCCCAGGGTCTCCAGTCTCAGTGCCTCCAGCAGCAGCACCCTCAGGCTCAGCACCTCCAGCCCCAGCAGCTCCAGTACCTCCAGTACGAGCACCTCCGGGACCAGCACCACTCCCAGCTCCAGTGACGTCAGCAGAAGTACCTCCAGCGGCAGAGCCCCGAGCTCTAGAAGCGCGACCCTGACGGCGACCGTACCAGTCGTGCAGCTGCTGCGAGGAGAGAGGCACACGCGGACGAAGGCGGCTACTCCAAGGAAACCGCGCAACAGCAGACGCAGAACCCTCAGCGCCAGTACCCGCAGCAGCTCCAGAACCTCCAGCACCAGCACCCTCAGCAGCTCCAGAACCTCCAGCTCCAGCGCCACCAGCGCCATGACCTCCAGCAGCTCCAGAACCTCCAGCGCAAGCACCCTCAGCAGCTCCATAACCTCCAGCGCCAGCGCCACCAGCGCCAGCACCTCCAGCAGCTCCAGAACCTCCAGTAGAAACAACTCCAGTGGCAGAGTCACCAGCTCCAGCGCCTCCCGCAGCAGGGCCCCTAGCTCCAGCAGCGCGACCCTGACGGCCAGCGTACCACTCAAACAGCTGCTGTGGGGAGAGAGGGAGTCGACGACAAGAGTGCAGCGGCGAGGCACCAGCGGAGCGACTACGGAGACTGCCGCTCCCGGGAGACTGCTCACCAGACGCCTCAGCGCCCCCAGGCTCAGCACCCCCAGACTCCTCACACCCAGGCTCAGCACCTCTAGTCTCCGCACCCCCAGGCTCCGCACCCCCAGGCTCAGCACCCCCAGGCTCAGCACCCCCAGGCTCCGCACTCCCAGGCTCAGCACCCCCAGCAGCAGCACCACCCTCAGCAGGACCTGAGTCACCAGTGACCTCAACCTGAGGAGGAGGGTCTACCTGAGACACACCTGAAGGAGCAGGACCGGGAGCGGGGAGGGGGTCTACCTGGGGAGCACCTGGAGCGAGGAAGAGCGGCGGGGGGGGGAGAGGGGCAGTGCGGTAGGGGAAGAGACGGTAAAAGGGAACCGACTCGTCGAACGTGACGTCCTGAGAGGGGAAGACACGGCGCGAGGTGGGGTGGTAAAACTGCCAACCAGGCGCGTCAGGGACAAAGCCAAGGAAGACACAGGGAACAGCGCGGGCGGAGAGCTTGTCCGCAGTGGTATCGCGGACAAAGGCACGAGCACCCCAGACCCGGAAACGCGACGCATCGCCAACCTTCCCCGTCCACAGCAGTGTGGGCGAGGTCTCCGGCAAGGAGACACGGGGCCAGAGGTTGAGCTGATGCGCGGCGTACCGGACCGCAAACGGCCACAGAAAATGGGGGGCAGCCGCATGGATCATGGAGGTACGAGCGACCTCCATGACTAAGCCAATGCGGCGCTCAGCAACCCCATTCTGCTGCGGAGAGGCCGGAAGCGTGAACGACTGGCGGATGCCGTGCTCCGCACAGTAGGCTGCCAAGAGGTCTGAGGAGAACTCACCACCTCTGTCAGAGTGTAGACGCAGGACAGGAAAGTCCGAGTGGAACCGCTCGCGGAGCTGGAGACGAGCAGCGCAGATCCAGGGGATCAAAACATCAGGGACCTCCCCCTTGCTGCGCAAGGGGAAGACCGTGGTGTAACGCGTGTAGTCGTCGACGACCAGCAGGAAGTACCGCTCGCGGCCCTGTCCACGGACGCGGGCTGGGCCCCACACGTCCAGGTGGAGAGTCTGCAAGGGAGCCTCTGTGGGAGGGAACGAGGAGGAGTGAGGAGCGGCGCGCTGCCGCCCCTCGACACAGGGAAGACAGGGAGGAGCAGGCGAGGGCAGTAGAGGAGGCAGAGTCTCTGGAAGTCCAGAGACAAGGAAACGGCGGTGCATGCTACGAAGGCGCTGCACCGAGGGGTGACCAAGGCGGTGGTGCCACAGGACGGTCTGGTGCGACAAAGCGCGACACGAGCAGGGGGGCGCTAGCTGACCTCACGCAAATGCAGACGCAGACGCAGCTACCTGAGGGGACACAGTGGTCAGTGTGTACAGACTCGAGCCAGGCTCTCGCGTGAACGTGGCCAGGTGCCGACCAGTCCGGGAGCACGTACAGTGGGTCACACGCTGACCTCCAGGGGTGAACTGGTCAACCCACACATCCTGTAGGTCAGCTCCACTCACCAAGTTCGTAGAGAACGAGGGGAGGTGAAGACCTGACAGGGAGCCAGACGGGACCGCAGGACACGACAAGACCGTGGAGGAGTGCGCAAGGACTGGACCCCCAGAGGGGTCTGCCAGGGAGACTGCAACCGGCCGACGGAGCGACGTGAGTGTGGTGCTGTCGCGAAAGAAGGAGCGGGAAGCACCTGAGTCAAGTGTGAAGGTGTACACGGCCTCAGCAGGCGCAGTACCAGAGAGAGCAGACTCACCAGCACCTGGAGCAGCAGCCTCACCAGTACCTAGAGCAGGAGACGCACTAGCACCTAGAGCAGCTGCCTCACCAGCACCTAGCGCAGGAGACGCACTAGCACCTAGAGCAGCAGCCTCTATACCTGGGTCAGGCGGTATGCACAGGGAACAGGCACGGTCATCACTAGTAGGCAATGCATACATGACAGTGAGAATATCATCATAGTCAAGAGCAAAGATATCTACCCCCTACTCAAGCAGCTCCAGCCAGGTGGGGAGCTCAGCCTCGTCACCAAACTCGGTGCGCCAGTCGTCGCTCACACGGGCGAAGCAGCGGGACTGGGTGTGACCAAGTATCCCGCAAGCCTGACCAGTCCGATCACCTGTGCGTGGGACGTACGGGCAGCGAACGGTACTCCGAGACCTGTCAGTAGAGCTACACTGTGAGATCCCCGATCGATCCTAGGGGGGGTTACAGGCGCGTTTGCCTGGGGGGTTATGGGCGCACTGACCCGCTACTGAAACAAGCCCTTTTATCCCAATGGTCTAGTGGTTGGGATTCTGACATGGTATCAGAGCGATCTCGGGTTCGAATCCCGGTGTATGCACATGTTGGCCGTTGCCACTGTGCTCAGTCCTGGGCCTCCCAGTGTGGGGGGGTGTCAGTAGAGCTACACTGTGAGATCCCCGATCGATCCTAGGGGGGGTTACAGGCGCGTTTGCCTGGGGGGTTATGGGCGCACTGACCCGCTACTGAAACAAGCCCTTTTATCCCAATGGTCTAGTGGTTGGGATTCTGACAAGACCCTCGACTCTGAGCGTACCACTCGTGAAGCTGCCGGGGCGTAAGTGTCTCGCGCGGACGCCGCTGCAGCTGCAGCTGGCCACTGCCAGACGCTCCCGACCGACCAGCTCCAGGGCGACAGTCACGACGGCTACCGCCACAACCCCAACTAGCGTACCACTCACGAAGCTGCTGAGGCGTGAGAGACTCGCACGGGCGTTGCTGGAGCTGCATCTGGCCACCGCCAGTAGCAACAGTAGCAACAGTAGCAGCAGCAGCTCGGGCAGGGCAGGCGCGGCAGGAGCGGCAGGCAGGCAGGCAGGTAGACAGGCAGGCAGAGGGCGCTGCAGTGCGCGAACAAGGCAGGTGCTCACCAGTGGCGGGCAGGGCCGGCGCTCGGCGGGCGGCGGCAGGGTAGGCGCACGACGGCGGCGACGGCGGGGCCGCAGCAGCAGCTGCAGAGTAGCAGGCAGCGGCAGGTCGGGGCCGCGTCAGCTGCAGGGCGGGGCCGCGTCAGCTGCAGGTCGGGGCCGCGTCCGCTGCAGGGCGGGGCCGCGTCAGCGGCAGGTCGGGGTCGCGTCAGCGCGGGGCTGCAGCGCGACGCGCGGGCAGCGCGCGCGGCGCGCGGGGCTGCAGCGCGACGCGCGAGCAGCGGTCGCGGCGCGCGGGGCTGCAGCGCGACGCGCGGGCAGCTGTCGCGGCGCGCGGGGCTGCAGCGCGACGCGCGGGCAGCTGTCGCGACGCGCGGGGCTGCAACGCGCCGCGCGGGCTGCAGACGCGGCGCGCGAAGCAGCAGCGAGCCGCGCGCGGGCTGCCGAGGCACGACTCGGGCAGGGTGGGCGACTCGTGGGGCAAAAAACGAGCCGCGCGCAGGAATTAGGTCTGCGCGCTCTAAGCAGCAGCAGATCGCACAGTCAGCAGACAGTAGGCAGCAGGCAGACGGCGCGCGCAGCGCAGCACGTCACAGGCACAGTCAGTCACAGTCACAGTCGTGGGGTAGCGGTAGGTGGGCCCGAAAAAAACGGTCCTACGGACCCACTGCTCTGAAACCATGTCAGAATCAAGAGACAGGAATGAATGAACTATGAAAGAGTTGGGTACAAGTATGAAACCCTAGAAGGGGCTGTACCCCATATTGGCTACCCCACTACAGCCTACACATGTATAACAAGCATATACTTTGACACACTGTGCTTCCTTCCTTATTCCGCCATTCCTTTCTCCTCATACCCTGAACCTTGAACCCATTGCAGCAACCCCTGTGCCCCTTCGCCCGACATTGAGCGACATTGGGTGATCGGGCTTGTTTGCCCTGCCACGCTCACCCGCGATCCCTCCAAGATTCAACGGCTCAGATTGCACTTCCTGCTGCTCTCCGCCTTTCCCCCCGCCTCGCTGCCCTTCGCCTTTGCTGAGTTCTCCTCCCACCAGCCGCAGCGCCAGCGCAGGTTGACTACGATGTTGTGCGTTCAAGAAGGGCACCCTTGCTTCACCGGTTTGAAGTGCTACTTACCAGCCTGAACACAGTGATTCGTGAGCTGTGTACTCACCATATATGACTCGCCCTTATGCCAATCCACTTTTGGACTCTATGTTTGGTCTTGGGGATTTATGTTGTGTGTGTTTGGTAGGTATATTCTTTGCGCTCACTTCATCTCTTATTACGGTCTTTGTGCAATCTGTTACCCCAATACCCTTGAACTTCGAGAGAGGTGTCAGGTTTGCGGTACCCCCGAAGTGCTGCACTCACAAGACTGCCAATTGCATAATCAGAAACGTCAGCAGCAACCGCAATAGGGCAGGTATCCACATGTTGCATCACGAAAAAGAGCTCGGGTCAACACTGAGATCTGGGCATACACAATACCCCCTTTCTACCACTATCATCACAGAAGCATCTCTCACAGCTGCTAGAGTGCTCTAAGAGTACCTCTGGCGTGCTGGCAGGCGACAGCACCTGCCACAGCACCTGCCACAGCACCTGCCTGCCTTCACCCTGTGCTTGCCTTTCCCCGTTCCTCCCATGCCACGCCGCAGTGACCATGCCGCACAGCAAACTCCCTTACCCCTGCCCCCTGATCCACCTTCAAATCCTTGCCCGCACAGTGTTGGCTGTCAGGCAGAGCAGCTTCCAAGTATGGGGCAGCAGGCGAGGCTGAAAGCAGTCTCGACAGGAGGCTGTCTCGCAGCTCCACCAGAAGAGAAGCCCATCTCGCAGAACCCGCTGAAGTGCGGAGTGGGCAAGTACCGCTCCATGAGCGGGGTGGCGGTGTGTGTGAAGGGGTTCGCCTCGGGGCAGATCCAGTCGAAGATCTGCTGGATGCGGTGCTTCGATGGCTCGCTGCGCGGAAGAGGGGGAGCAAAGGGGGAGGGAATGGGGAGAGAAGGGAAGGGAGGGCAGAGAATGAGGGGAAGCAGGGCAGGGGTAGGGGAGAAGCGTGGAAGGGGATGTGGGGAAGCAAAGAAGGGGATGGGGGGAAGCAAAGAAGGGGATGGGGGGAAGCAGGGAAGGGGATGGGATGGGGGGAAGGGGATGAGAGGAAGCAGGGAAGGGGATGGGGGGAAAAAAAGAAGAAGATGGGGGGAAGCAAAGAAGGGGATGGGGGGAAGCAGGGAAGGGGATGGGATGAGGGGAAGCAGGGAAGGGGATGAGAGGAAGCAGGGAAGGGGATGGGGGGAAGCAGAGAAGGGGATGGGGGGAAGCAGGGAAGGGGACATGGGGAAGCAGGGAAGGGGATGGGAGGAAACAGGGAAAGGGATGGAGGGAAGGGGATGGGGGGAAGCAGGGAAGGGGTTGGGGGGAAGCAGAGAAGGGGATGGGGGGAAGCAGGGAAGGGGATGGGGGGAAGCAGGGAAGGGGATATGGGGAAGCAGGGAAGGGGATATGGGGAAGCAGGGAAGGGGATGGGAGGAAGCAGGGAAAGGGAGGGGGGGAAGCAGGGAAGGGGATAGGAGGAAGCAGGGAAGGGGATGGGGGGAAGCAGAGAAGGGGATGGGGGAAATCAGGGAAGGGGATGGGGGGAAGCAGAGAAGGGGATGGGGGGGGAGCAGGGAAGGGGACATGGGGAAGCAGGGAAGGGGATGGGAGGAAACAGGGAAAGGGATGGAGGGAAGGGGATGGGGGGAAGCAGGGAAGGGGTTGGGGGGAAGCAGAGAAGGGGATGGGGGAAATCAGGGAAGGGGATGGTGGGAAGCAGAGAAGGGGATGGGGGGAAGCAGAGAAGGGGATGGTGGGAAGCAGGGAAGGGGATGGGGGGAAGCAGGGAAGAGAACAGAGGGAGCGCGATGGGAAGGGAGACGGGAGGGATGGCGAGGGCGACGGGGAGAGAGGAAGACGCGGATTGCGAGGGGACGAGCGGGAGGAAGAGCGACGAGACAAAGGGAAGGCTACGGGCGGAAGGGAGAGCGGCGGCGGAAGGGAGAGCGACGGCCGGAAGGGTGGGCGACGGGCGGAAGGGAGGGTGACGGGCGGAAGGGAGGGCGACGGGAGCGACGATCGGATGGGAGGGCGACGTGTGGAAGGTAGAGCGACGAGCGGATGGAAGGGCGACGGGCGAAAGGTAGAGCGACGAGCGGATGGGAGGGCGACAGGCGAAAGGTAGAGCGACGAGCGGATGGGAGGGCGACGGGCGAAAGGTAGAGCGACGAGCAGGGCGACGCGCGGAAGGGAGGGCGACGAACGGAAGGGAGGGAGGCGAATGGAAGGGAGCGACGGTTGGAAGCATGGGCGACGAACAGAAGGGAGCGCGATCGTGGACGACGCGAGGAAACGAGTAACGGGAGCCAAAGAACTGAAAGCGTCGCGGGCAAGCGAGGGCGAATGGGGGAACCTAAGCGACCAGCAACCTAGCTCTAGACCAGGGAGAATATAGCAGGAGCATCTTGCGAAAGTTGGTACATGAGTTGTGCCCTCAAACGGAGTGATTTTTGGGCGTGAATGACGGGTGAACTATGTCTAGTATGCTTGACAAGTAGTACAAGATGGTTTTCAAGTTCAGTTCAAGTGAACAGTGCTGCCTTGCCTGCTGACCCACTGCTCGATATGACTTTGAGTGTCGCTGGCCAATCACAGATCACTATCGTGAGAGAATGCTCCACTTCGGGTGGTAACTTGGTTTTTGGCGAATTCATATTCAGGAATCTTGAACTTGAAAATAACCATGTAAAAATCGGGCTTTAAGAGCGTTTGCAATGTTCCTGTGATTGTGTTTGTTAAAGCTCCGGTATACATTTGAAAGTAGGGGTTCAAAATCCTTAGGAACTTGAAAAGTTGCCCCAAAACTGTGAGGCACAATGTAAAACCCTGAACCTCACTGATCGGGTTGTTACCTCACCACCCACAGCCCTTGCTCCGTCGGAACGCGTTCAGCGTGAGGGACTCACAGCGGTTGTCCCGCCAATGTGCAAAGTTGCAAACGCGGCATGACCCCGCTTCCCACGGTTGCTGTACTTGATTGATAATTCGCAATCGCAATCCGAATTTCAGACCAGTGGGACTATGGGGACCTGGCGCGCTCAAAACGCGATACTCGCTCGCCTCGCTCGGTGCCGAGGCCGTCGTCGGCGCAAGTCGCAATAGCGCAAGTCCATTCCTTGCGACGATGGCCCCGTTGCTGACCGCGTTCGCACTTGCGCGTGGGCTAGTAATAGTCGTCGTAGTAGTACCACTGGAGAGCTTGCCTCTTGTCGGATTGGGGAGGGCGGGTAACGGAATGGGTTGACTGCGGAGATTTATGGGCGGAAGCGAACGGTTCATGCGGACGAGGCTGCAGCGTCGATAAACGTGAACAAGAGCGTATCGTGCTGTCAGAGCAGCCTGTCAGCACGAGATGATTTTCACACTCATTTGCAAGTGACTCACTTGATAATCAGATAATAATCTTACGAATTGTAGCCTGGTGCGCGCTCAGTTCCATCTCTCTCGTGCCACACCACTGCCATCTCCCATCCTCCCTAGTACCACATTGTGGCCCCGTCTCGCCCTCTCCGTCGTCTGGAACCGTCCGCGTATTCCACTTCTTCAACACTCCAACGCAGACCCTCAGGGTCTTCTGCTTCTCTGCTCCGCAAGCCCCTCTTGTAACTCTGCGGACTTATACACGAGGTTAAAGAACGAACTCTGCTCACCGCACCACCTGTGGAATCTTCCTTCCTACCCACGTGGCCTTGTGCGCGCCGCAATGGGGGGCTGTGGGAGTGTTATTGGCGTGCTTGCGCTCATTGCGCTACTACTCATCCTCGCCATCGCTGGTGCGCCTCTGCTCCCACGCCCCCATGCTCCCGTTCTCTCATATGCTCTCATTCGACTCCCGTTCTCTAACCTGACGCTCGCACGTTCACATTCTCCAATGCTCTCATAATTCCATGCTTGCTAAATGCTCTCCCATGCTCCATGCCCCCATTCTCTCACATCCTCCCATGTTCGCATGCTCCTCCCATGATGCCATGCTCCCATGCTCCCATACTCCCTGCTCCCGCGCTCCTTGCTCCCACGCTCCCATTCTCTCACATACTCATGCTCACATGCTCCCATGATTCTATGCTTGTGCATGCTTCTATGCTCCCATTATTCCATGCTTCCATGCTTCTATGCGCCCATGCTCTCCGACCCTACTACTACGACAGGAGCAGCCGGCGATGACACACAGGATGCGCAACTGCAGGTGGGCACGCGGGTGAGCATCAACGGCCGTGCGATCACCTTCAACTCGCTGCGCTGCGTTGACATCCCGCCCAAGGCGGCCGGGGGCAGCAAGAAGGTGCAGGTGGCGTGGTCGCAGCCCCAGGCACCTGCTGCTTGCACCAAGATTCAGTTCTTCTCCGGGCCCGGGTGCAAAGGAACGGCCTTGAACACTCTGATGCAGGGCAGGCAGCGGTGAGCTCGTCGCTCCTGCTTCCCTGCTTCCCTGCTTCCCTGCTTCCCTGCTTCCCTGCTTCCCTGCTTCCCTGCTTCCCTGCTCCCCTGCTTCCCTGCTTCCCTGCTTCCTGCATCTCAATAATATTCCCGCATTTCGATCTTTCACTGCCGCCTGGCTGATGCCAGTCGCGCTCTGCCTCTTGCATCTTGCCCCGGTGCCCGTGAGCAGGGCGAAGACGATCGCCAAGCCAGCCAAGTCCGTCCGCTGCATCATCGGTGCGCTGCTGCTGCTCTCACTCCTGCTGCACTCCTGTTGTTTCACGGCTTCCTCTCCACTTCAGACATTCCTCCTTCTCTCCTCTTTTCATCTCGTCTCTTTTCTGATACCAAGTTAACACTTAGCTCCACTCCCCCCCTCTCCTTTCCTCTCCGCTCCCCTTCTTTCCACTCCTCTCCTCTCGTCTCCTCTCATCTCCTCTCCTCTCCTCTCCTCTCCTCTCCTCTCCTCTCATCTCCTCTCCTCTCCTCTCCTCTCCTCTCCTCTCCTCTCCTCTCCTCTCCTCTCGTCTCCTCTCATCTCCTCTCCTCTCGTCTCCTCTCATCTCCTCTCATCTCCTCTCCTCTCCTCTCCTCTCATCTCCTCTCCTCTCCTCTCCTCTCCTCTCCTCTCCTCTCCTCTCATCTCCTCTCCTCTCCTCTCCTCTCCTCTCCTCTCCTCTCCTCTCCTCTCCTCTCATCTCCTCTCATCTCCTCTCCTCTCCTCTCCTCTCCTCTCCTCTCCTCTCCTCTCCTCTCCTCTCCTCTCATCTCCTCTCCTCTCCTCTCCTCTCCTCTCCTCTCCTCTCCTCTCCTCTCCTCTCACCTCACAGCCAGCCTTCAGCATACAACTTGTGGATCCAAGTTTTTTCGTACTGAAGCTGCTCCACAGTGCGTTTGCCAGCCTGCTGAGTGCTTCACTCCTCCCTTCCTCTCTCCCCTCCCCTCCCCCACCCCTCACTGCTGGTGCTCCATAGGACATCTGCCAGCATGCGGTGTGCCCCATTCATTTCTCCCTCTCTCCCTCTCTCTTCCCCCCCCCCCCTCCCCCCCCCCCCCCTTTTACTTTGGTACTCCAGAGGACATATGCCAGCATGCAGTGTGCCCGGCCAATTACATGTGCATTGAAACCACCAACAGCAATGGGGTGGCATGTTACTGCGGCGATGACTCGGGGCCGCATGGCACATGCATGTTGCCTGAGGAGAATGAAGTTCCTGCTGAATTTGCACCCTCGCCAACAGACCGTAAGCATTGTCGAATCACATGCTAGGTTAATCTTAAAACCCACCAACATCAGATGCTCGAATGCTTTGCGACGTCCCAAAACTCACCGTCAGAATGTAAGCATTCAGAAACATCAGGGGGTACTTGTTTTGCGCAAGCCTGATCATGCAATGCTGGATTGCACTTATTGTTGCACCTTGTGATCCGCCCCTTGCACCTTGTGATCCGCCCCTTGCGCATTCCTTTGCAGCCTTCCCCTCTGCACCCAGACATCCACCCTCACAACCAACACGCATGCAGCCCCCACTTCAATGTGCCTGTCTTCGTCTCTTCTCCCCGCCACCCCCACCAGCGGATGTGTGTGGCAACAGCACCAGGAACCCCTGCAAGGATGGCGCGTGCATCAGTGCTGGCCCCGGCTCCTACACCTGTGTCTGCCCGCCCTTGCACGTCCCTCACACCACGACCAAAGGATACCGCACCTGTCAATACGGTAGGCTCTCTGCCCCACGTGTCAATGCGATATGATCTCGGCCCCACGTGTCAATGTGATGTGCTCTCTGTCCCACGTGTCAATGTGATATGCTCTCTGTCCCACGTGTCAATACGGTAGGTTCGCAAGCGTTTGGCACAGGCTGCCCTCCGTGTGGTACAACACCTTCTCTTCACCGTGTGTGAGAGGGATGTTGGATATATGAACGGCAAAAACCACCTCCTTTGTGTTTTTACCAGAACGTTGCATTAGGACACGTGAGAGTGAGACTCTCCTTCACAACAGCACAGTTTCCTGCATTCAGAAGTCTTTGCGGTCTTTCTTGTTGGCTTTGCTTTGCACTTGTGCAGACACTTGGGAGCAACTTTCTTCAACGCTGGAGGTGCAAGGAGACAACTGGAGGTGTGAGGACGTCTATCCTCTTTATGGACTCACTGTTGACGAGTTCACAGCACAGAACAGTGTGAGGATTTTATTGTGAATGCAACTGAGTACATCCTGTGCTCACACTCTCTATGCGAGGTACTCTTCACCGTAAAGGCCAGCCATTCATATGTTTGTGTGGGTGTGCTGGCTGGCAGGGCGTGGACTGCTCTGCTGCCCTCACCCGGGGTCAAACGCTGAACGTGACTGAGAGGGACGACCTGGCCTCCTGCTCTGTCTTCTACTATATCCAGCCGGTAACTATCTGGCAAGAGGCTACCTCTTTCTCTCTCTTTTTTTACTACATCCAACTAGTAACCCAGCTTCCTTGCACGCTGTCCTCAGCTCCGTGCTACCGGCCTTGTTGCTATATCTCAGTTGTAACTCACTAGTAACTCATGCTGTTGTTGCTTATTTCCGTTTCTCCCTCCTCGCCTGCCCTGCTTTAGGCTGTCAATCACACAACTAATCTTCTGAGCATGTCATCTCCAGGCTGCCTTGCTTCATTACTCCTCTACCCACACCCACTCCCAAAACCTCCTCCCCCCGTCTCCCCCCACCCGCCTCCCACCCCATCCAATGCAGGGAGACACATGCGAGTCAGTGGCAGCCTCTCTCGCCATCTCCTCCCTATCCCTGCAGCAGCTGAACCCCGGCTCCAACTGCTCCTCGCCCCTCCCCCCATCCCGCTCTCTCTGCATCGAGCGGGACGATGGGAAGGTGGGGAGTGGGAGGTACTGCGATTCAACATACTCAGCCAGCGGCACGGACAGCTGCACTGCAGTGGCGGAGGGCCGTCAGCTGGGTACCTTGGTGGAGCTCTACCGGCTGAACCCAGGGCTCGTGTGCTACAGCTCAGTGAATGCCGGTCGGGAGGTGAGTGGTGGAGGCTGCCTGAAGCATTGGCAACCTGGCATGAGAGCCACTACTGTTTTAGTGTTGATTCTGCAGTGCCCAGCATCGTGTATAGCGTTTATTTAATATTTTGTCTTGTGCTGTTTTTGTTTTTAGACTATTTCTTGTGTTTCCTGTTTTGTTTTTCCTAGTGTCCTGGGTAATCCACCACACTTCTCATTCTTATGCGCCCATCCTCAAAATGCAGGCTCGATGGCCACAGATATGCACTAAGACAATGCAGCTTGGTGGTGCCAAGGGTCATTGTAACCAGGGAAGGCCAAGGTCCTTCAGCGCGTCGGCATCATGCAGCAGTGTTATCACCAGAGCTTTTGGAGGAAGCACGGCCGACTATGAGCAGTACAACAGGCCCTGTGCGGGGACCATTGGTGGCAGCTCTGGTGGATCTGTGCGGATATGTGTGCCCTGAGTTGCAGCCTGCAGCATGTTACTGGCTTGCAAGTAGACGGGCAAAGACTTGCCTGATCCTTCAGTAAGGTACGTTAGATTGCACTACGGTATGTTGTATATTAGTTGTTTCCTAACACGCTCCACATACGGTAACAGATTCTCCCTCCATCCAAGCAAACACTCCATGAGTCCATGTGCAGTAACCAGGGCTAAATTGTAGTCAAGAATACGGTAGGTACTCACGCTGTTCCGTTACACTCTTCAACAAATATCATAAAGGTTTTTCTCAGCCCAACAAAGGATGCCGAGATTTATCAAGCATGCCTTTGATTATTATGAATCTCATGTGATAAAAAATGATCCTGGTCGCAACCAATCCATCCATTGAATTCAAAGGCTCAAGCATCCCAAAATCAATGGTGCGTAGACAAATTCTATACAGGGTGTATACAGATTACGTTTTCGTATGAACTGTATGCGACATAGTGCAGATTACGTTTTCTTCTCCCTTTCCTGAACCACCCCTCTGATCTCATTCATCTCCGCTGCTTGTTTCTGCTCAGCCTCCTTCAGCTGCCCCCTGATAGCCTCCACTCTCTCGCCCAAGGTCTGTTCACCCATTGACATCCGCTCCACCAACTCCCCCTTCACTGCTGCCAACTCCCTCTCCTTCTCCTCAATCTTTCCTCTCAGCTCTCCCATCCCTTCCTCTCCCTTCATCTCAGTCTCCCTCCTCATCTCTCTCAGATCAGATGCCCCTTTCCTTTGGACCTCCTCCAAATCTCTCCTTGTCACTTCCAGCTGTGTGCTAAGTGCCTTCATCCTTACGTCCATTGCCTCTAACATCAGTCTCTCTCCCTGCTCTGAGCCCCACAGCGACCGCAACAGCCTCACTCACTACTTGAAACGCACACCTGCCAAGATCACAGTAGGTACAGCACAGAAAAATCATGTGAAAGCACATACATGCACGTGAGCGGACGTCAGTTCAGGTGAGCGGTCAGTGGAGCACTCAATTCACACGAGAACACATGAAGTCAGGTGTCATGACATAGCCAAAAGGAGCATCCTCACATGGATTTGTTGAGCAGATGAACGAACGCGAGTTGCTGTGGCACGGAGAAATGAGGACATGAGGGGGGTGCGGGAGAAGGGAATGAAAGGAACGAGGAGGAACGGGTGAGCAATGTGAGAGAGCAGAGGAAATGGGTTTGGAATTTTATTAAGAGTGTTCAGCACGAGGACGAATGAGTGGTGCACTCAGAATGAGTATGAGACGGGACTATCAGCGTACCATGAATGATGTGCCTGACTTCCTCAGCTTCATCAATGCATCTTCCACAGCCAAGGCATGCTGATGAATCCATGCTTTGACTTGTACGGAGGAAATACCCATCCATCAGAGCAGTAGTGTCAGAGGGGCCACAATCATATACACTATGTGAACCTGTGAATAGGTTGTCACGGTGGAAACAATAAGTACAACAATTCGAATATGACAGATACACTGTGAGACACTCAGCACTGGGTCAGCAGGCGACTGGCAACAGATCATGTTCACACGGTGACAATACAAAACCCTTTCTGAATGACTCACACAAGTGTGGAGCACGTCAAGCGGCACGTTGAGTGACTGGGCATACTGAATTGGGAGAAGGGGAAAACGGAACAGCAAGAGAAGTCTTTACCGATACAGGGAACTTGGTGCATAGACATGCACTCATGGAGCAAGGCATAAAAAGAGTCATGCGTGATGTGAGCAGCAAAGCACATGCTTCTTCCATGGTTTGACAAGGTAATGGATACGGATATTGTTTGCCACACCATGCTATTGCTGTTGATGGGGGAAGAAACTTTGTTGAGGGGGTCAGTCATGAACTTTGTCACGGCAGCAGTCAGAATTATTGACACCATCCACGTCACCGCCATCACCGCTTCAACCATCCGAACCATGTCGAGTCTTCCACACGTAGTGCATGTAGGAGTAGTGAGGTGGGGAGGATGGGAGAGGGCTCGTTCAGATCACTCCACATATGTTGGGGCAAACTAGAAGAAATAAAAGGATGCACCATAGCATGCGTGCATGCACTTCGCTGGTGCATGATGTGGATGTGGTGCACACAAGTTAGCACGATGACGGCAAGAAAAGCATTATAGGTGGACGAGCCAGAGAAGGAATGCTCACGGTGAGAGATAGACACGGAGGAAGATGCAACACAAATGGGACTCACTGCGTGTGGAGGTGCCACCCACGTGCTAGATGGGAGCAACAAACTTCCCGTAGGCACTTCAAATGGGACTCACTGCGTGTGGAGGTGCCACCCACGTGCTAGATGGGAGCAACAAACTTCCCGTAGGCACTTCACTACCAAACGTAGTAGACAGCATACAGGAAGTCGGCGAGATTCATATGAATCGTTGGGCTTTACTTCAAGGAGAGTGGGAGGAGCTATATCAAAGCTCGAGGCTTCCTTGCAAAACCCCATCCCATTCAATCATCAGCCTCACCATCGCCTCCCTTCAGCTGATTCCTTCCAATGACGATCCATCATCCTCGCCGTTCGTTGTGTTTCCATGGAACTCCGATTCTAGCCATTGGGAACACGTATGCACTTGGGGATGTTGCGACTCCGATTGAGATCCCATCGGCTTTCTCTCGCCTTGCGCCTGCCCTCCGCGCACCCACCATGTGCCTCCTGTCTGCCGTGCGCTGCTCCGCGCACTCGAGTTTCGAGATTGCGGACGTAGCCTATTGGTGCGATGAGCTCGCGTGGCTGCTTAGGTATGGGAGAGGCCTGATTGCATGATGGTTCTCACAGCGACACCTGTCGACATCGAAATAAGTTCTGGGGGGTGATATCTATGGTAGGTGGTCCTCGTTTCGTCAGATCCTCGCGGTGTCATCCACTGAAAGCCACCTCGAAGTCAGCGCGCGCGTCGCTTTTGACGTCAGTCCTCGGGTCGCTACACAATCGAACCACTTTACACGTTAGACGATTGGTGCGGTGAGCTCTCGTGGCCTATGAGAGAGGCCTGATCGCATTATGCTTGCTCACAGCGACAGCTGGCAACACAGAGATAAGTTTTTGGTAGTGAAGTGAGTATCCATGGTCGGGATCGTTTCGTCAGGCCCTCCCATGTGATCCACGATGTAACCACCTCTATATCTGCGCGGGTCGTTTTTTAGGTCAGTTCCAGGATCGCTGGACAAGCGAATCACTTCATTGCCGTTACCAACATTTCTCGAGCGCAGCAGGAACATTGTGGAACTGGATTCGCGAGATTCTCCTAGCGATAATTTCTGTACTTCACTGAGACATACAGTGACAAGGGCTCGAAGCTGGTTACCAGAAGACTACAAAGTTGTGCTGAATGTGAAAACGCCCGAGACTTCTTCAATTCCAATTTCTCCCAGCAGCCATGGTTTTTCTCAATCGTTCCATTGACGCTCCCTTCTCGTCCGTTCAAGCCGCCATATCGAGTCCTGCCATGACCTCAATACACGACAACGCATTGCACGTGGAGTTCGCTGCAGGCGTGCGGTTGACGAATATTCTGAGAGCAGCGAACGATATTTGCGAAGCACGGAGTGATGGCGAGTGATTTCGAATTGGATTGCATGGGATCGGCGGGATTGACACATCGTACATCCGAGTTCGTGCGCGGAATTACGGCAGCATCGTGCTGTGTGGATCACGTGGATGCGCGATATCAGCCTGTTAGCTCGGCATGGCATTTTTTTTCGAATGAAGCAGGTGCTGCTATCGTCGAGGGCTGGTGTCGCATTCGCAGCTCATTCGTCGTCAATACAGGCACAATCTAATCGGTATGCCGCAAACTCGTCAATGGATTCTCTTCTTGATTCCCTTTGTATCCTCGTGTCGTCCCGTTTCGTACTTTCATCCTCCTGGTTTTGAGTTCCTCTTTCCCCTCGGTTCCTTTCGCCTCCCCCTTCCGACCTTGTTCCGTTTTCGTCGTTTCTCTGTCTTATTGAGTTCCCGTTTCCTCGCCTTTCCATTTTTTCACCAATTGTCGCAAGCTATGGGCACGCCTTAACCCCTCGCCGCCCTTTTTGCCCAACGCCTATCTGTATCCCTACTCCTAACCCCATCTTCCCTCCTTTCCCGCCCCTTCTCTCCCACCCCCCACCTCTGCCATTTCCGCTCCGATTTTTCATTGCCTTCCACTTCCGCGGCCTTCCCCCTTCCCCACATCCTTTCCGTTCCACATCTCCGTTTCCTTCCCTTCCCCTCCTTCTCCCCGTCGCTCTCACCCGTCCCCATTTCTCTTCTCAAATCCCACCCGTTTTTCTGCCTGCCTCCGTTTCTTTTCATGACGGGCATGGCATCAGCAGCCGTGGGGCCGCCTGCTGGTGTGGGGGCGAATGCTCGATGGAATCGTTTCGAATGGACATGATCGATACTTGCAGGAATTTCCAAGTACGAGTTCATGGCAGCAGCGTTGGGGTTGAACTCGCGGAGGTGTGGCTTCGTGTGGTGTGGACCATGGTCAGCTCGTGATGTGCTGCTGCTGACGAGTGGCTCAGAATGTTGCAGTTGGAATTCCGGGGATCCGATGCAGCAGCGAGCCCACATCCGAATTGTGGCAGCACCGTAAGGAATTGTAGTCACTTGGATGGTTGCGAATCGCTACAAGCCATCCGTTTAAGCTCAGCGCTTGGAATGCGGTACGTTGCTGGTTGACACTCTACACTCCCTTTGTTTGTTGTTCTGATTGTTTTGCAATTCGCATG